GTATTAAATTATTACATTTTAAAACATAGTTCTACGTCAGTAAATGTTATTAACTTATTATATTTTTTTCATACGACCTTTATAAAAAAAAAACCAGTGAAAGTTTGACGTAATCAGAAATATAAGAAAATTATATGGGCGAACATACAGCAATATCTAAACGACATTACATAACAGTATGTAATGAATATAATTTTAATTTGACGAATAAATTTTGTTTTTTTTTTACATATAAGTAACTATAATAAATAACCATATCGTCAGATAGATAATTAAAACCAGGCAGTGTTTCGTTTTAGACTTTGACTTAGTGATAGATATATTAATTTTACAATGATGTGTGTATTAATTTTGTTCAGTAATCGTCTTTAGAAGCAGCAAAAATGCTTAAATTATAAACTTATCTTTTCTGGTAGAAAAATTAATCTAGTTAGTGCAGTGAATGAAGAGAAGGTCATAAATAAAAAAAAAATCTAGTACTTATCTTAATAACTGGGAAATACAAAAAACTATGTGACTGCAATGGATGTGTTAAAATTGAATTAAATATAAGCGACGGCATACGTTAAACAGTTCTTAGTAGATATGGGCTATATTACTATGATAATAATTATATAATAACTACGACGTATATTTTAATAAATGATAATTATATTGCCATTAATAACATAAAAAAAAATTTAAATATCAATTTAGTAATTAATAATCCATTATATATCTAATAATTTTTTTTTACCTATTAATTCAATACTGACAATACTACACTGTAAAGAAGTACGAATAGGTTCATGTATAGATTTAAATTAATCTAAATATTTTGAAAATGCCATTGTAAAATTCATAATAAAACGTAAAGTTTTAAACTAAACGAATAATATTTTTGAATTATAACATTATAACTAACGTTATTATTTCTTATTTAAACATGTAATTTCGTTCAAATTTAAACTTCAAATGTCTAAAAAAAAAACATTTGGCACATATATATTAGCTTTAATATATTTTAATAGTTACCTATACTGATGATTTTTAAGGAACCTTATATAAAATGTTAAAGGCTTTTGACAGAGTGAGAAATTTTTCAACAAAAACAATTTTAAAAAAATTATAATTTCTCATGCCTATAAATAGCTTAAAAATAGTCAAAATATTTTAAACATTTTATCATATTGTATAAAATGCTAATAAAAATATTTATTGTAACTTTCAGGCATGTAATATTATTATACGCTAAAAAAAAAAATTGATTTTGTCAAAAAATGGTTTTGCGTAAATGAAATAATATTAATAAATAAAATTGAATCTTAACAATAATTATTTTCATATACAATTTTTTTTTTTTTTTTTTTACTTCATTTTAAAACAAACGATCTGTAATTATTACAATGCGATTCAAATGAATATATAAATTATATATTTAAAACGTGAGATATATGAGAAAAATTAGCCTCTCAACACAAACTTTATTTAGGGATTAGGTTAATTTTGATTAAAATAAAAACTATAAATTAAAGTTAGGACACCATTTTCTCCTTGAAATTTTAGCCTTTACAGTAATAATTTTTGAATTTAGCGCTGATATTAAAATATTTGAATGGTTTGTTAGTCGAGAATGGAAGCGTTTGTATACCTAGTATCTTTGTTGTTTTTTCTTCTACTGTGTTTATTTTTAAATAAGTATGAAGGATGTAATCTGAGATATATAATGAGACATTGGTAATTATAAGAAAAGTTATGTATAGAAAAATTTGAATTATATTATATATTATATATTAGAATTATTGGCCAACTCCATAATTGGATCCCGTATTTTCAGATAAGCATTAGTTATATAAAGGAGTGGTTTTATTCATATGATGAGTTTAGAATGTTTACTGAGTAAGAACAGAGAGATTTTCTCCTTGAGTTGAGAAGAATTCGTTTATTTTTAAATGGTATGCCCAACGTCGTTCTAGGATATAAGCTACAAATATCAATATTAATATTAAATATTTTATAAGTGATTAAAATTCAGATTTTGTTTATTTTGTATGTAATATGTTATATTTTTTTATTTCTATCAGACCAACTCACATCGTTCGATGAAAATTTTATTTTGACTTAAAAATTAATAACAAAAATAAATTACATTAAATATACTATAGTTATAGTTATAATATATTTTTAAGATTGAAATATACATAATAATATTGAATGTAATAATACGTAATAGTTTATGTATAAACATAAAATCAATAATGCAATTTGTAAATAATTAATTAGGTAGCAAAACTTAAACCTAATATTTGATCATTGCATATTTCAACTTCAAACAAAATATTGTTGACTTTTGTAACACTAAAAAACTGTTGTATAACATTGGATAGTACATTAGTACACGATAAACATTTTCAAGCAGAAACCAAAAATTCATCAACATTAATCGAATTAATATGTTAATGGTGAAGATTATTGAATACTTCTCGCCGTTCTTCAGCACAGTAATGAATGTATATTGCCAGTACATTACGCCGTGTAAATTAAACAATCGGATACAACACACAAACACAAAAAAAAAAACACTCATCACAGTAAAATCTATAGATTCATCACTCTACTTAGAATACAGTAAATCCTCATTTAAAGACACCTCATTTAACTTTGTTTTGCTATTGCTTCGTAGAAGTTTAAGCCCTTGTATTTCGTTTAACACTACAACGGTTTCGGGATAACTTCTTTTATACGTAATACATGCATTCATCAAATTGATGTTATATATAAATATATTATATTGTATAAGACATTACAACAAGTACAGTCGACTCTTGATAATTCGAAGTTGGCGGGACTATTGAAAAACTTCGAATTACCGAGAATTCGAATTGTTAAGTACCTACTAGTTACCTACTAGAGTTATTAGATTTATCGACGACTCGACAAGTTAAATGACGATTAGAGACGATTAAGAAATAAAATTTATAAAATGTTAAGGTTCTTACGATAATATTCTATAGCTATCGAAAATAATAAGCTAAATTTCTACACGATTGTATAGTAAATAATAAACAAAATGATTATAAGAATACAAATAAAATATATTTGGTGAATAAACTTCGAATTTCCGAGCGTTGAACGAATGATACTTCGAATTTTCAAGTGTTAGTGACCAGTTTTCCCAAAATTTAATTTCGAATTACCAAGTGTACATAAATTCATTGTTTTTATTCGAATTACTGCGTAATTTTCAAAGGACCGAATATTTACTTCAAATTACCGAAAATTTCGAATAATTGAAGGTTTGAATTATCGAGATTTGACTGTAATTTAATTTCATCGATCTTTTTCAGATAAAATTGTTATCGTTTTGATTGACATACCTACCATACATAGGTACTATTGATTTTTGGTAGTATGTATTCTGTAATCGTTTTTCATTTTTTTACGAATAAATTGTAAATACGTACGTAAATTTGACAATAATTTTTCGTACGTTTTATGTTTAAAATTAAATCAGATATTGTGTCTAGTGATTTTTGATATAGTTTTAATTCATAACTTTAAAATTCCTAAGATTAATTAATACTTATTTTTTACATAATTTAAAAAAAAATCTTTTCAATTCTATTTTTAGTGCATATATTTTAATATTAATGCATATTTTATAGTATATTACAGCAGTTTAGAAGCATATTTCGAGAATTTTTTTTATAAAAATTCGGTCTTGGCTTATAAATTACTCGTAAAAATTTAGATTTTTATGTATTGAAATACTACAAGAAACATTCTGCTTCATAATACATAATTAAAACTGTATAATTTTATACAGAAAAGTTGAAAAATTAAAATTATGATGATGAAAAAAGTTTAAAAAAAAAAAAAAAATTTTATTATATTTTGACTGGAAATAATATAAAACAAATATTTTTAAAAATGTTAATAGATTCTGAAATAATAAGTATTATTCAATAAAAGAATCACTTATTAAAAAAATATTTTTATCTGAAAACCAATTATGATTAAATTTTTAAAATTACAAAATAATGTAGTTCTTAATATGCTATCATGATATTTTATTTTTTAAATTGAATGTTAATAGTTTTTTAGATCAAACTTAGCATTCTTGATTATAAAAAATAGCTTAGATAGGATATGAAACAAATTTGAGCATTAAATATATTTAATTTTATGTTAATTATAAAGGTTTCATAATATACCTAACAATCAGTAATAGAGCTCGGATGTTGTAGGAATTGCATATTGTTCTGTATGCTCTCAATTTATAGAAAACCAAGTTAAAAATCTGAACTGTACAATGGAAAATTAAAAAAATTTAAAATTGAAATTACATGTTTTGTCAATTTTAGTTAAACAAAAAGGTGCATATTTCATTAATTTTATTCGTATATTATACAATTTCATATTTTTTTTTAAAAAATTGATTTTTTCTTTCTTAACCTGTATACTTAAATTAGTATTGATTATAAATCTCAAAATATTCAACAAAGGTATTTTTGTAACATCAAAAATACTGGAAAATATTTTTAATTTCATTTTTAACTCATTAAGATATCAAAATGGCAATCAGTTACAACTTTTTTTCAGTTATAAACAGTTTTTATGTAAAATATTATTTTATTAATTTATTAACAACATCTGATGTATTTTTATTTATTTTTTTGGAATTCAGAACAAATTTTTGTATATTTTTTAATTTTTGCGTGCATATTTTGCTTTTTTCAGCTCCTACAACTTCTGATTCCTAATTATTATTAATTTTTGTACCTAGATCGTACATATAATTATATAGACAATAATATAAGTAAAATACTTAAGACTGTTTTATAGTATTCGTCCAAATAAAAATAATATGAGCTATGCACTGAAAATTTGGTTAATTTAGTTAAAACATTTGATAATAAACATATTATTAACAAATTATATTTAAGTATATTTATTAAATAACAACGTTATATTCCAATTTATATTACAAGTTAGTATCAACATATTATTTAAACACAATTAAAAAAAAAAAAATTGAAGATCGAAAATCAATATACCTACTAACTTCTACTTCCAACATATACATCATTTCCAACGAAAAAAATTGGATTGAAATTATTTACATCGACACGACAGAAATTAATATTAATCAATATTGACAAATTTTTCAGGCCACATTTAAAGTATTTTTAGTTTCTACAATTGACGTATCAATAGCTGGTGAATCACTACCATCATTTTGTAATTCTTGCAGTCTCTTAACAGTCAAAGTTCTAATTTCTCCAACACTCAACACCAAATCATAATTTCTCTCCAAAGTCTGTTTGATTTCAGCACCCATCAAAGAATCCATACCCAGATCAGCTAGAGTTGCTGATGCATTGATATTCTTAGTGTCTTTGATACCAAGAATATTGGCAACAGCTTCAATTAAGCTCACTTGTCCGGCACCACCAGAACCTCCCTTTCTTTTTTCAGCCAATACCATAGAAGCCAAGACAGGTTGTGGATGTTGCAAAAATACATCAAAAGCACTCAAACAAGAAGCCATACGCTGCGGCAATGTACCACCAACCACTGTATCGTTTCCACCCATTGTTTCCATGATAAGTCCAACATCTCCAATAGCACCCCATTGAATAGCCAACTAATAACAATAAATCAATTATTAATATCAAATTTAATTAGTTTTAATTGGTAAAAATTATTATATTATTTATATCAATATCAACATACCCCTGGAAGACCAGCTTCTTGTCTAGCTTCACAAATTCTTTCCATAACCGAGTTGGCAAAACCGTAATTAGTTTGTCCAGCATTACCGCGACCACAAGATACTGATGAAAATACGACAAAGTGATCGAGTTCGGGACAAGACTTCCTGGTAACGGTGTCTAAGTTTTTAGTACCAGTTACTTTAGGTTTGCTCACTATTTCAAAATCTTGTGGCGTTTGATTTTCTAAGAATGCATCTCTCAATACCTTAAAATAATTAATTAACCAACTATAAATATTTATAATAAACAAAAAAACAAAACGATTTAAAAACATACACGTACGAAATGTTTAAATATTATAAAATATACATTTTATATAATATTATGAATTACTAATTTGGATTTAACAATAAATTAAAAACTTAAAGTTAAAAAAAGTAATTTAAAGGCATTCGCAACTATTTTCTATATACAAATATACATGAAAAATAATAACGGTTACTTACAGCAGCCAAGTTGAAAACACCTCCAACTGGTCCCAATTTATTACTGTCGTCGATCAATTGTTGAGCTCCATTTAATGTTGAACAATCAGCCTTAGATATCAATACATTAACGCCGGATTCTTTCCAATTGTTTACACAATTAGCTTGATAACCAGTGGTGATTCCACTTCTAGCGGTCAATACAAGGTTTTTGGCTCCTCTCACTATCAACCAGTTAGCTAATTCCAATCCAAAACCTCCCAGACCTCCAACAAGTACATATGTCTTGTCTGGGTTCATGTAAGACCGTGGAATAGAAGTTACCAATTTGGTTGCAGGTTTAACAACTGCTGAAGATTCCTCATCTCTAATTTTCAACACTACTTTTCCAATATGTTTACCGGATCCTATAAATCTGAACGCTTGTTCTACTTGAGATTCAGTGAATACTGTGGCTGGTAGAGGGTTAACTGCGCCATTCTTGATACCTTCATTTAGCAATCTCACAACTTCTTTCTTGTCTTCACTTTCGGAACCGGCATCAAACAATGAGTCCAAAAGAATTCCGTGGAATGTAGTGTTTTTCAAAAATACAGACATTCCTAGAGGACTGTTGTTGGATAAATCAAGTTTACCGATTTCAAGGAAACGACCGTCTTTGGCCAAGCAACGGACAGATGCTTGAAGTTTATCTTCTGTCATCCGGCGCCCGCCGAGATCTACACCACGACCTTTAGTTTCTCTTAATACGTGTTGTTCAAAACTCGTGTCACGAGAATTGGCAATATTTTTGTCAGTTAACTAAATAAAATCATCAATTAGTTATATATTCAAATCTTTTACATTATTATAATATTGTTAATACCTTAGGGAATGTCTTTTTCAAAAATTCTCTCTTTTGTTTGCTACCAACAGTAGTGTAAACAGTAACACCCATATGTAGAGCAATAGCGATTGCTGCTTGACCGACACCTCCAGTACCAGCATGAACTAACAATGAGTTACCTGGCTTCATTCGTCCTCTTACACAGAGTGCATAGTAGGCCTAGAAATAATTAAATAAAAATGTTTACGATTACTTATTGCAGCCACATCAACTAGCATTTAACTACTTACAGTTCCATAAACAACAGGTATAGTCGATGCTTCTTCCAATGTCCATTTGCTAGGTACTTCCCACAAGAACCCAGGATCAGCTAGAACACTAGTAGCCAACCCTCTAGCAGCAAGCATACCCATCACCCTTTTACCTTTAGAATTACGACCAGAGAATTCAAGTCCAAGAATGCAGTCCTAAATACGAAAAAAAAAAGTTAAAATAACTAAATTTCACTTAATATAAATAATAAAACATACTTGTCCAGCTAAATCACCAGGCAATGCATCAGGAGGAAGTTTTCCAGATGCTAACATGATATCACGGAAGTTAAGTGGTGCGTAATAAACGGTACACAATTCAGTATTTGGGTTGTATTCAGGTCTAAAATTGAATATGCTTTAAGTCAATAAACTTTTGTATTAAATAATAAATACTCACTTATAATAAGTCAAGGGTCCTTCAATCCATTTCAAACTGCTCAAATCTCCTCTAGTCAGAGCGTTAATGTAAGCATGCTCAACTTGTAATGAGGGCTTATCCTGTTGGTTTTCTAATTTCAAATGTCTCATTGAACCCCACACTCCATTAGGCTTCAATACATTGCTCAGTAAATCTTTTTTCAGCTGTGCAGCGTATAGAGGATCGGTTAAAGAGAATTTTGGTGCAGCCGGGTCTTTAATGAATACTGATCTGACACTATTACCGCCAGGCTCTTGTTTGACACAATTAACCAAACCGATAATACCATTAGTATCTTCTCCTTGAGCAAACAAAACAATTTTCTTGCTTGGGTCAGCTTCAGCAGTTTTTAAAGCTGATTTTAATGTCTCAACCCATTCATAAGATTTTTCAGATACTTGAATTACTTCAGAAACTGGTTGATTTTTTATTAGCTAAATCATAAAATAACACTATTAAAAATAACATAAATTATACAATATAAAATACGATTTATAATTTATTAAAATAATTAGAAGATATGCGATCAAATAATTTTGTTTAAATTAATTATATTTGAAGCGTACCTTTCTCAACAAATAGAATGTTCTACCGTCAGCAGATAACTTGCTTATAAAAATGAGATTGTTATTCTCAGCAAGGCTTTGAGAAACATTTTTGGCTTCAGATAAAAGGATAAATCCGCCGTCCTTTACTGTCTCGGCCAAGTTATTTAGTTTTTTACTTGACTCCAACGCATCAAATGCGACCACCACATGAGCGTTAGATTCAATAGGCCCACTTTCTAATGATTTATTTGTCATTTTCACTTCTAATGATCCCAAAAACTGAACCAAAGCTTGTTTTTGAGTAGTAACTAAAGTTGCGTCCAACTGAAAAAATTTTAAAAAAACTGTTACTTGAGAACTTAAACATTTCATATTGCAATACTTACTGATATCAAGGGTTCAGATTCCAGAATATTTACAATATTAGGCATATATATTTCTTCAAATGGTTTATCTGCTCCATATTCAACAACCTTTACTTTTATAGCCCCAGCACTGTTTTCTAAAACGATTTGTAAATACGAAGAAAATATGTCTGATATTTCGGTTTGGGAAGAAACAATCTGTAAATTAATTACTATACATTATAAAATTATATAAAATTATATAGTATAATTGCTAATTTAAAAAATAAAAATAAAATAAAACATTATACAGTATTTATTATTAAACGACAAACATACTTTCGTGTTGTAATCTACGATTTATAATGATTAAATCAAAAATATTATAAATAAAATGAAAACTTAGATTTTTTTTTAAAACCTATAACTACAATTAACTATATTAACAATACATAATATAAATTTGGACAAATTACTTTATCATCAGTGTATGGTATAAATGTGTATTTTTCTAATTTAGGAGCTGCTTGCGATTGTTGTCTTCTTGGAGCTAGGCTCAATTTCAAGCCACGAAGTTCAATTCCACCAGATTTTATGACATTGATATCTCTGTACATTTTTATGGAGATCGCTAAAAAATATCAACGTGATGAAATCCAAAATACATAAATAAAACGTCAACAAACAATACTTTGGATCACAAATACTTACAGCTACTCTCAGGTAAGGATTCAATAATTTTCAAATGCTTAACAGGATCAACAATAATTTTTTGCATTCTTGTCGGTAAATATAGTTCTTTTACTTTCAAACCCAAAATTGAAAACTGAAGCATTGTATCAATATAGCTAATCCAGTTTCCATTCCATTCCAATTTTCCTTGAATACCTGGTAATATTATTGTAAATTAATAACACATTTTTAATAAAATGTTTATATATGATGTGTATATATACATAGGTATTAAAATTTATATGTTTAATTAACTCTATAACATATTATCTTCTTTATTAAATGCATAACACCTTTAGAACCCCAATAATTTTATTTTATTTTATTGAGTAATTTTAATTTGTAATTAAATAAATATATATTATAATTTATACAGTTACTAGGAATATTTAAAATTATAGCAAGTTAAAAATTTTAAATTTGTACGTAATTTATAATTTTACATTCAAAAATTACTTAAAAATGAATTAATACATTATAATAAAATTACAAAATGAACCTAAATATAATAAAAATATAATAGTATACCTGAGTGTACACATAAAGTATAGAACATATTATATTGTAACAAAAGTTATTAATTAAAACATTAATTTATATACGATCTACTTCTATAGTATCTAATTAATAATCATTCAATACATCACCTTTGTTATCAGATTCTTTTACTCCTCTAAATGCTCCTTTATAATCATATCCTCGCAAACCCAAATCTTTGTATATGTCCCCTGTCTTAAATGGTATAGTCTTCTCATTGATCTCGAAAATAGGTAGTTCAGCATCTAATTGTTTTAAATCCGTGTTGTTTATAATAGAGATATTACCAGTTACTGCAACAGAATCTCCTTCACAGATTTCAAAATTGCCAGTTCCTTCAAAAATTCTGATTGAGAAGCTTATGTTTCCTGCGAGGTAAGATATGTTAACAAGTAACAACATTTAATATTACTACTACAATTACACCGTTGATATACATTGTATTATATAATTACCAGTTTTAGGCATGATAGTTGCACGCAAAAACTGTACATTTTCAATAGAAACTGGGAACTCTTCGATGTTCTTATCATGAATTTTAGCGAATGTCTTCCATACAAGTGTCTAAATTTTTTGTAATACACTTTGTCAATAACTCAAAAAATTATAATTTGATTAAAATTTTTCTTACTAAGTATCCTGTTGCAGGGAATAGCACTCTTCCATCAATTACATGGCCAGATAAAAACTGGTCTTCTTCCTTACTTAAATCAACTTTGATTATGCACTCACCAGATCCAGTTTCCTGTAATCAGTCATAATATTAGTACAACATTTTCATTAGTTAACGATAGTCAGCAATCAATCCTTATATATATATATACATATATACAGTAGAATAAGTTTAAGGCGCTCTCGTATAATACGATTTCCTGCATAATACGCTCATTTTCACAAGTCCCTTGATTTTGATAGAGGTTAACGTGTAAATTACTCCTAATAATATGCTTTGTATTACCGGATAAGACGCTCTATGTCAATGATATTATATAATATAAAATTAATAATCAAAATAATGTACAATATGATTATTGATTCAAAAAGGCACTGCAACTTAGTATACACTATGTGTACATACCATACGATAAGGATAAGCTTTTAATATAATACTACTAATCATTCGTTATCTCCCTGCAACAAATACGCTTGATAATGTAAATGAACTAAAAAAATTAATTACATCTACTGACAATTCAGATGAAACATTATAAAATCTTAATATAAATGAAAACTTCAAAAACTCAAAAAATATTTAAAATGCAAATAAACAAAAATTGATATTTTTTTAATGTAAAATAAAGTACGTAAATTATAGATAATACGTCATTTGAAATAATAAAAATAAAATTTAATGACAAGTATTTATGTATTAGTATACTATATCTGTAATAATAATACAATATCAACACAATTATAATAAAAAATTCAAAATTGTATATACAATTTTTATTAGTTAATTTTCAGATTTTCCTGCGTAATACGATTTCTTGTTTAATACATTATTTTTACCTAGTTCCTTGGAAAGCGTTTTAAACGGATTCTACTGTATAAATATTATTTAAAGAAAGATGTTTTAAAAAGTTTTTGAATACAAATACAGATATTTTGATTTAGAAAACTAAAAAATTAATACAACCATTCTAATACAAGAAATTTAAGAGCGATAAAATAAAAAAATACTATAAATTTAAAAATAAAATATAAACTATGGATTACTATATTTAGTAAGTACCTAATTGATATTATCTACTTATAAATTAACAAAGTTAGAAGTATTATTGAAAACAGTAACTTAATCACTTTTATAATAATTTATATTAACACCACAAAAACAATAAATTGAAAATTTCTGAACATATAGTGAATTGAAATTTTAAACTTTCAATGAAAATATTAAAGATTTTCTTCCATAATTATTTTCATCTAAAAAGTGGTCAATCAACCCAAGTAGCTTAAATAGATAAAGACCCGTAAAGTTATAGAACAAGGATGATATTTTTTTTGTAGTACATATAAATAAGTGTAGAGTGAAAAAAAAAATAAGAAAACTATTTAGGTAAGTTATTATTTAGTTTATTTTATTTTATTTTATTTAATAGTGTTTACTATTTACCTTTTGTTGAAAATTAGCAACGGTCCATTTAGAAGAGTGATCCCATTCGACCAACGATTGAATCATTGGTGTCCCACGTCCAACAGGATATGACACAGTCGGGTACAAATTTTTGATTTGTGTTTGAAGTCCAGCATTGTATAATCTAAAATTAAATAAGCAACATTAATGTATATTCGTTTTCCAACTATTCGATCAATTCAAATAGAAAAATCAAAACCTACTTTCCAATAGCTGATAATAAGACTGAAATATTCCCTTGAGGATTTGTTGAACGCTTAGTTAGACCAATGCACAAACAATCTGGCCCTAGAGATTTCTTTAAAATAGCTAGAAATAATGCATGTGGCGCAATTTCAATAACAATAGCATCTTTTGGTATATGAAGTATAGCTTCCTAAATAGCAAAGGCGTTAAAATTATTTGACAATATCATATAATAATAACAACGTAATGAATGATCTTACATGGAACAAAACCGGTGACAATAAATTGTTTACGTGATATGCAATAGAACTTGTTTTAGCAATCGGAGTATCCCATAATTTTTCGGGTATAGATGAACTGATCCATTTTGAAGACCGGGGTTTTGGGTTTTGTAAAATCTGATATGGATAATAATTTTAAAATAATAAATGAACCACAAGTAATTATATGAAATATGTATGCATCACACTTATAAATATTATTCAATGTATTTATAATTTTGAATAATAATAAGCACCATTTGAGTGATCACTTATTATCATACCACATTATTTTTTTTAAACAGGATTTATGAACTTTAAAATGTATTTAAAAAAAATAATATGTACAATAATTTATTTCTATATAATATAATATAATATATTATAATTATATTTATAACATAATATATATTCTAATTTTATATCAATCCTTTATTTATAAAGATTATTTTTATATTATAAAGCAATAACTATTATAATTTATTATTTTTATTATCATTTTGATGATCAAATATAAAATTTAAACAAAACTATAAAAGTTACCTCGTCAATTAATAATACCAATTTCACTCCGAAGTAATTTATAAGTGATAATAAGTGCATCGTGACTATAATATTTTATCGGGAAATAAAAATATATACAAGTCAAAAATACTTAAACAAGCTAATAAAATTAAATATGAACTTTGAACTATTGAAAATAAAATAAAAATGACTGAAATAATTTTTGAGCTATACAAATAATAACTTACGCAATAAATATTCTATATTAAATTAAAATATAAAATACAAAGATACACTTTTTTAATGAAAATATTAATAATATCATAGTATTAATATGTTATTTATTTTTAATTTATAAAAATTATGTAAAACTAACTTACTTTTTCCAAACTCTTACGAAGTGCTGGTTCTGCATCAGCAATATATTTAGAATGAAAAGCAAATCCAGAACTATTGACTTCTTTGGCAAAAATTCCTTCAGCTTTGCAAGTTTTTATAAATTCACTAACGCTTTTAGAAGGGCCGGATATTGTTACACTGTCTTCACTATTATGACAGGAAGCTTCCAAATCAGCTGGCAATTTTTTTTTAGTATCTTCCCAAGTCAAGCCTAAATTTACAAATTCCCATTATGTAATATGAAAATAAAGTAATTTGGAAAAATAACAACAAATTCGAGTATAATTTAGTAATTTACCAACAGCAGCCATCGATCCTTGAGGGAGTTTAGCTTCCAAAATACAACGAGCTCTCGATAATGAAACTAAAATAGTCTGTTCAATGGTAAGTGATCCATCGACATAAGCACAAACAAGTTCACCAACTGAGTGGCCGACAAAACCATCCGGTTCGATTCCAATTGATTTCAATAATTCAGTCAATGCCACCTAAAAATATTAAATATAAATTTAAAATTAACCAATCAATCAATAATAGAATAAATACCAAAATATTACTTGCACGCATGTTATCGATACAGCCGAATTGAGGACATTTTCAAATGTTTTCTCATCTTTGGAGTTCAAAATGCTCAGCAAATCAATACCTTCGGCTTGAAGAACAGTAGCTGCTATGTTGATGACTTTAGCAAAAGGTTCTAATTGAAGGAATCCTTCAACCATACCAGCCCATTGACTCCCCATTCCAGAAAAAACAAACCACACTGGTCTTTTACTTAATTTTACTTCCTAAAACCATTAAAAAATAATTATTTATTTAATATCAATAGATTGATATTAAACTCTATAAATACATTTCATTAAACCGACAACCAAGATAAAACTATAAAAGTATTTAAAAATTAAAGAACTTTTAAGTTTAAATTAATTTACGTTAACAAATCAATGAGACTTGATTAATTTAAATGATCTAACAATTAAAATAAAATAACTCACAGTAACTTCAGAGATCGATTTTCCTAAGATTGAATATCCTCTATAACCGTGTCCGTTAATGTTATTAGCATGAATATCGTGTAACAAAGAAACAAAATCATCGTCTAACGGTGTTTCAGCAATCTACCAACAAAAACGATGTATACGGTTGATAACTAAAATACTAATAAAAAAAGAAGTCTAAAAAAAAATGCACATTTTTCAACATATTATTCACTGCTTTTTCTGTTCTTCCAGACACGGTTATCAAACGGGGTACATAGTTTACAATTGTATTGGTTTTTGTTTTGGGATTTGACTTCAACAACACGTGAGCGTTGGCACCACCAAAACCAAAAGAATTGATAGCCACATAATTACCATTGAAGTCCCAATTTTTGTTCACGACCTGCGAATATGTGTGATTTTCATTAGAAATTGTTTTTGACAACTGTGGTAATTAATTATGCGTTTTCTAAATTACCTGTAATCTTCCGTCTAACAAAGCTGGGATGTCAGGGTTTGGGCTGACAAAATGAAGATTTGCAGGAATTTTACCACTTTCCATAGAAATGACAATTTTGGCTAACGAACAGAGACCGGAAGAGGGTTCGGAGTGACCCATGTTCGATTTGACAGAACCTATCAACAGTGGCGATTTTCGGTCTTTAGTAAAAAATTCTGCAATAGAATTGACCTCTTGTGGATCACCAGCCTAAATTAGCATATCATGAATTAAAATAAATGTTTATGGGCATCACAAAATTAAATCATCATACTTTAGTCCCCGTCCCGTGAGCTTCTACGTAAAACACCTCAGCTGGATCTACACCGCATTTGGCATAAACTTCTTGGATGAGTTTATTTTGCATGACTCCACTCGGAAATGTGATTCCCTGGTCTTTAAACCCATCGTTATTGGTCAATGCTTCCACTACCGTAGCATAACTTCTTTTGGCTACACCAGCCTTCTGCAAGAATACTGATACTACAGCTTCGCTCCGCACGTATCCGTTTCCTGTAAACAACTATCAAGTATAAGCACATGATTGAAGCTGACATTTTTTTGAGAAATTGAACTACTCCCATTGACGCACATTAGTCTCAAATCATTCCCGATCTCCCAAAAATATTTATGAGGATAGTAATAACGGCTTTTATAAAACAGAATATTTATCTAATTTGATACTATATATGAATCAGAAGTTTATATCTTTAGCCTGACTCGTCTTATCCCGAAATCAAAAAATTATATTTCATTAAAAATATGTAATAAAAATCACAAGAAAGAAATTCAACACATTTTTTTATATTTATCTATGAAAAAGATAACAAAAATATTGATGACATTGATGGTGGAGGTAGATTGTGCAATGTGCATAGTTGTTAGCTTATTTAAATATATACTATTGATGTAAAAAAAAACAATTTTACTCTTCTCCCTTCTCTCAAAATCAACAAAATCCCGTCTAAATACTTTAAATAAGTAGATGTAAGGATATCATCTCCCCAGATAACAGTTTTTTTTTTTAAAGATTTAGAGATTTCTGAATTATATTCCACTATTACAACCATTGTCTATTACATTTGTCAATCAAGACACATGGACATAATTATATTTTCGTTGTTTTATACAAAAATCAAGAATATTTTATTTAAGAATATAAAATATAGTTTATATATTAATTTTTCTACCGTTATCATACTTCGTAAACTATTATTGATATAGTCAAAGTCAATATAAAATTATTTATTATAATACGTATGCCATAAAATTAAATAAAAATATAATAGATCATAATATTATCTGTTTAATAAATGAAAATAAAAATAAATTGATATTTAAAAGCAGCTATAGTATAAACTATAAACAAGCTAATTATTAACTATTGCAATAAACTAATAAATAATTATATTCATACAACTAAATATAGATATAATTTTAATATCCTACTAGTGATACAACTCGAAACAGCTACAGTGGCAGTTTTTTACCGTATTATTAGTATACTGCACCGGCATATGTTATCACCATCTTATAAACATACAACACAGGTACATAGTACATGGCAAATTTACATTCAGTTGAACCAATTTCGTGTTATTGATATTGCAATGAATTATTAACCTATTATCAAAATTAAAGGTATGAATAACATTAACTGTGGTTAAGCGTTAGCTTTTTTCCCGATATTTTATTTATTTATTTTTTTTTTTTTTTCAGTAGTAATATGAATATGTAAAATGCAACAAATTAAACGTAACCTTTAACTTTGATAATAGGTTATTCATTATTATGTTAATGCTAATGCTAATAACACAAAATCGATTTTACCATTGATAATAATTTATTAAACAAATAAGCTTTTCTATACTAAAAAGTAGCGATTGACCAATTGACCAAGTGTCGTCGACCGTTATGGAGCGCTGTAGTAGTCAGCAGTCCAGGGAGGAGGGTATACTACCTCTGACTATACTTAGAGTTCTCGGGCAGTAATAGTTAATTAAATGGTGCAGGAATTTAAAACAACTTCGGGCACGCGTTCGTCATCAAGTGCTTGTCAAATGTCAATTCGTGACTACTGAGAACTGACTATATTATGTACAAAATAACATTATTCATAAACCTTGGCGAATACGTTAATTTATAAATTCCACTAAATTTTTAATACAAAAATATTATTGTTTAAATATCAATGGATTTGTTTTGATTTATTTTTAATTTTACAGCTGAATGTTTTATTAAATTAACGATATTTCTGGTAACATAAATACATTTTAAATGAGTTTTTATCTATATTTTTAATGACTTGTGTAATGTAGAGAATCTGTGTACGATATCCTTATCGGCACTTTTCTTCTAGGATTTTTTGTTGTTTATATTATATTTTAAATATATTTTAAACAACGATAATGCCTAGTAACATTAGAAATATTTAACTAATATAATACAAATGTTAATAATAAACCTAATAATATTTGTTAATAACTCTTGATTATTTTTCAAATATTTTAGCTGGCTGATCTTGTGGTACTTACCTATTTTCTGGTTAAAATTTAATTTAAAACAACCGAATATTATGATTAAAACATATATAATTTATTGATTGCTTACCTTTTATTTTTTATTATTTGATGATTTTTTTTTTTTTTTTTTTATGAATCATGTCTAAAAACATAGTTACTTTAAATTTGTACAACAAAAAAATGAAATTTATAATAATACAAATAATACATTTCTTATTCTTGAGCACTAGTCTATATTGTTTTAAATTTTAATAAATTATATTTCAAATATGTATGCATTATAACTATTATATAAATATGTATATTTATTAAAGTAATTTAATCTATTCTATATAGGTAAGCTCTTTATTATTTTTATCGTATTTATCGTTGGGTATTATTTAAATAATATTATTTTCATGTACGATCAAAATTAACAAGCTCATACGTCACAAACTCAAGACCTAACCCGAATATTAATTAATAAATGTAATTCCATGAAAACATATTTGTTCATTATAACAACGCCGTCCATCAGCAATCAGTATAAATATCATTTTAGTAGCCGAAAATACCTATACCTACTATAGCTTATCTGTATAATTTATTAGCAATAGTTTTAATGATCACAAACATCATTTGTTATGACCTATATGTTTGTAAGACAGAAACATCATATGCAGATGTAACGTGCTCATAACAATGTAAAAATACTGCTGCTACAAGTGTTTTGAACAGTATCGCTTGAAAACCACAATTAAATCTATTTCATTTCATTAATTTAATTTATTAATAATATTTTTTACTCGTATTACTCAAAGTTATTAAAAATATAAATTCTACAGCTGCTTTTAAATAGCTGTTGATTATCGTTTATATTATTTTAGTTCTGAGTAAATTCAGTATGATATTTTTTTTTAATATTATAAAAACAATTTGAAGTGATAGGTGTGGTATCAATACTTAACCTAGGGCGATAAAACTCTAATTGCGTTTTATACTCAAGATTATGACTAGGATTTATATACAAAGTATAAAATATTACATAAAACATGTGTTCAATTATTTTGATATTTCTATTCAAATGTGTACAAGGACGTTGGAAAAAAAAACACATACCAATGCATATACTAGTCCCAACTCCTACTTAGTGCTTATGACGATACAAAAAAAATAATAAACCTTACCGGACGCGTCAAAAGCTCGGCACATCCCTTTCGTCGACAACATGCTCAACTTGTGAAACTGTAACGAGTTGGTGGGCTTGAGCAGTAGGTTAACACCGCCCACCACGGCCGCCTCGCACTGTCCGCTCCGGATGCAGTACAGTGCTTGCGACAAAGCGAACAGACTGCCCGAACAGGCTGTGTCTACCGCGTAACTGGGTCCGTTGAAATCGAACGTGTACGAGATCTGATTGGGGAACATGGCTCGGCTACATCCGGTCAGCCCGAATCCGTCCACGCGCTCTTGCACTCGGCTCCAGTAGTCGTCCGTCTCACTTTGGAATGTGCCCACGAACACTCCGGTTTTCGATCCACGGATTTCGTCCGGGTTCACGCCTGCGGAAGTTTTGACAGTGTTATTGTGACAGGTCGGTTTCGCCAATACGACATTTGTCACGGGCAAATAAGTGAACGGGCGGGTGTGTATACAACGTGAAGAAAAAACAGTAACCTCAATTTTACTGTCTACACGTTTTACTACATTGAGTTATAACTTGTTAGTAAAACGTACCCAGGTTGCTACTGGCGAAGTACTAGGTACTCATTAGTCATTCATTAAATTATGCTATACACTAATATCTTGTACACAGTATACACTGGTACAGTACTGTACTTAATATTTATATTTTATTATAAAATATACGTTTATTAAATTATATCATTCATTTTGGCGTCAATTTTTAATGATTATGGCCCATGGGTAATTAACAGTTCCTTACATTTTCACAACACGTAAGACTCGATTAAGAAGTTAATATGTTTAGGTATTATTAAATATTTCAAATATTATTAAAATATGAAACCTTTAAATTATATGTATATATGCAATGGGACCTCTACACCTCTCTCGAATGTGCTGGTTGTGCACAGTTAAGGAATCGCAGCTCTATATTTTTTTTCAGAGAAATATTTTTGTTAGTGCGAGGGTAAGTGTATTAACTCAAAATAAAATTTTCTTAGTTGTTTTATAATATATCGGCACACCAGATGGCATTCGACACCTCGTCCTCGGTTTGTAAAACAATTCACACGATCATTTTGGGCGCGGTTTATCGTGTTTTACACGCGTTTTACTGTATGCAGTAGTGAAAAAAACGACTTGAAAATCTAACGGTTGTTAGGAAATATGGCTAAAAACATTGAAAACGTCAATAAACTGTGCACTTTATACAGTAATATTGTGACGCAAGACTGGTCGTCATTATGTCAAAGCGCAAACGGCCGTTATGAATTTAAGATTAATGTGCTAAAAACACTTAAAAAATGAAAATACGCATTCGAGTAATGTGCATACTGAAAATATTGAAATATACGATAATTTACTAGTTAAAAAATCAATTAAATATAATGTATGACGTTTAATTTGTTCAAAATATTGAATATTTTTCAATTTTATAAAAAAAATGCTTTTTATTCGTATTAAACTCCAATTTGATTTTCCTAAAAATTAATAAATCTTTACAGTATTCCATGTAATAGAAAAAAAACATATAAAATTATAGATAACATAAAAAATATTGAAATTTGAAAACCAAATATCACAAAATAATCGAATCAAACTTTTCTGAACAAATATACATAATACATATGTATAAAATCTTAAGTGTTGATCATTATGATATAATTTGCCGATAATACGAAAATTTTCCGAAAGAAATATTATGTGAATGGATTGGCAACAACGCATTGTCTATACGACAGGCTTTGCGCTGTCACCCATAGTTCTATATACTTTTTAGTCTAGTCTTTAGTTATTTTTGCCAAGTCGCGTAACGGTGGCATCTTCATATAATCATAAGGACGTAGAGGTGACTACCGATTAAGCGTTTTTTTTTTTTTTTATTTAATTTAAATGAGTTATAATTATTGTAAAATTCTGTTTCTATATTAGTAATCTTGACAACGATCGTAAACAATTGAAGAGTATTCCTTACAGCTCAAAAACAAACACTCTTTAATTCATACGTATAATATAATACTAGGTAACACCGTTACACTCAACAATTATATCACTTGTTACAGTTAGTATTTCGTCGTCAAAATGCTTTCAATCCATTTTTTATTATTTTTTTGTATGTTTATCAATAACTTTAAAATCGTGTAGGAAAGTAAATGCAATATCTATTATGATTTATAGCTTACCAGCGTCCACGATACATTCGTAAGTTGATTCTAAAAGTAATCTTAACTGTGGATCCATGGCTTCCGCCTGTTTAGCATGTATTCCAAAAAAATTGGCATCGAAATATTCCAATCCCTTGAGTTTTCCAGTCCTCGACGGGAGGCCGTAAAGACCTTGAAACAATTAATTCGATTTAAAAAATGAATACTTAATTATAAAACCTAACCAACGATTAAGTCTAAATATACATTAGTATAAATAGATGATGTTCATTAACTCATATTTAATCATCATTCTCTATACCATTCATAGAATTTAACAGCATTACGTTCAACAAAAGCCATAAAATAATAATATTAATATTGTTTTATAGTAACATTTACCAAAGTCTAAATTATTTATTAATGAATATAACAATATAACACATCGTTAAAGACATTATATCATGCAATATTCACTATTATCTCGATTCCTTTTCAATTTTCCAATTGACGTTGTATACTACCTTGGTATTTTATTAAATTCAAAAGGTATATCTCCAGTTGAGTTATTGTAAATCGTGTATTTACCAATTTTAAAAATAAATTTAAAATATTTATCGAATAAATAAAAAAAATGAGTTTATAATCATAATATCATATAGTTACACTGTTATACTTAATTTATAACATTGTTTGGTCATAATATCCTGTTTGAAATTACTACTAAGCTACTGCCTAGCAATTACCTTTTGTAATTTCACATTACACATTATACGTTTGCACTATCGTTTTATGTTAAGCCCGAAAATACTAATAAACAATGTATAGGTAGGTTTATTATTGTAAATTACTTGCCAGCAGGCCAACGACGATCATCGTCTGTGACCATATCTACACCAGTGAACAGGTTTTCTCGGAATTCAGCGATTGAATTGGACTCCGGAAAACGTCCGGATATCCCGCTGATGACCACTTCGTCATTTTCAAAATGTGAAAAATCACCGTTTACAGCCCCATTTCCAGTTTTTAGTTGACTAGCTTGAGAGTATCTTGATGGCATAATAAGTACCTTTGATTACTAAAACATAATTAAAAATAGATAAATGTTAATTTTCTGTGATAAAAAATAATATGAAATATAATTTTAAGAAAATTATTCTTTGACATACAGAAACCCTCGTAAGAAGAAAGAGGTGTGAAAATATGAAAATATAGTATTTATTTCATTCGTGGTAATTAATGTAAGTATGTGTAATATATTTATTATTCAAAGACAAATCAACAATATTAATTCATATAACTATTATTCGTGAACAAAAGTTTAATATAATTATTATTTAATACAATACATGTAGTAGGGCACTTAATTTAGTTAAGTTACGTAATCACTACCTCTCCCTCTAAAAGTTCACCTTAACATAGTGAGGGGAAGACATAATCGGCTATTCTGTTTTACCTATAATACTATGCCAACGTTAGCGGATAAGGCGAAATTAAAGGGGTTAGGTTCGTCGGCTTCGTCCCCCTAAGACCTAAACTAACCTTAGTCGGCCATTCGAACTTTAATAAAATTATAAACACTCAAATCGAATTAAATAACTGATTTCATTAATCATATTTTATGTATAATATTCTGTTATCGTATAATGGTAAAACCAATGTTTGCGAGCAGTACGACAATTCTGAATTTTTAGCTCTATGCAATTTTATTTATTATGAGACAAAACGGATCCAATAAAAATGTAAATATTAATCTTAAAGCTAAAGTACATAACAGTATAAATTATAAAAAACTTCAGTAAAGGTGATAAACATTTCATAAATGGGAACTGATTTAGGGTTTAGTTCTTCAATAGAAACAATGGATCCTCGTTCGCTATTCTCGTCATTCGTAAAATTGAACTATTATAATGTTTATTGTAAATATTCGTTATCGACTATGTATTGTAACTTTTTATGTTTTTATTTGTTTACTCTGGATTATTAACAAAAGCTTGAAAATTTATTCCAATTTTAAAATGAAAATTTTTCACTCCGCCCTTTGGTTTTTTTTTTTTTATCGTGTATATATTAAATAAATAAATTGATGATATTTTAATTATTCATAATTATTTATAAAATAGTCTGATAACTTAATTTCATCCAAACAACAAATTATCTATTAACAAATGAAAATATCAACATATTATTATTTATTAATATTATATACTGGCATATAAAAGGCCAAAAATTCTAAGGGGAAACAGTGTGTGTTCCAAAAAAGAAACATAAAAATAGTGTCATGTTCAATGTGTTAAATAGTATTATATATTGACATACTTAATTTAATATTATGTGAATTCGCTAATTCATAACGGTTAAATGCGTACATGGCCTTAACAGATTTACTTGTTACTTAATGTACAAGGCATCAAGCTTGCATAAAATTGAATCTAATATACAGGATATAATAGGTACTATAATACAAATGTCAAATGTGATTATTTACGAAGTTCGTACTAATTCTATTAGCTACATAGATAATTTAACAACAATATAAATCTACTTTAAAATAAATGCTATGCAGCTAAGATCCAAAAAAATGTATGTTTATTAATTATTGTTTATTTTTCTTGGTACTAATTTCGAATGTGTATAAAGAAAGTTTATAATACATATTGGAGCATATTTTGTCATTTTTAACATGCACATTAGCATCTATTTTCACATCTTTCTAATGAAAATAATTTCTGTCTTTAAGTTATGTTTTGTTCTTACTATTAAATAAAATAATAAAAAATGGTGTAAACAAGTGGATACTATCCTGCTGTACAATAAGTGTCGAGTGAGTTACTTTAATGGATATGTTAAATCTTAATTCAATGATTTATATACAAAAAATGATTATGAGCGGTCTATCTTATCAGCATATATATATATATATATATAATAAAGTATATCCTACATTGTTTTTTTGATATTTTTATTAGACAATGGTGGCAACAGCGGGCGATTACCCTCATTAAAAATTTCTGGCCTACCGTAAATTTTATGAAAATTATGAATTTTAAAATTTACTTCAAAACCTAGCTACCTATCATTAAAATATATTCTTCATTGTTTTTAAATCTACAAGAAGAAATATAAATGCATAAGGTTAAGTAAATACGATGAGTAATATATTCAATGATCTATAAAGTTATCGTGTTATCACAACCAAGTCTGGCAGGAATATAACTGGTATAATTCTATTTTTATATAATATCGAAATAGGCAATGTTATATACATCTTTGATAAGCTGTTTTAATCAAGTGATTTTTATTTTTACACAGATGTTTTACTCATTTAGCCTTTACTCTTTAGTTCATATTAGTTTTTTCATTATCATTAAAAAAATAATTATCAATTCCTTAAAAATATGAGTTCTAAAAAAAACAATAAATAATAATTATTATAAAAAAAAAAATTATTACCAACAGATTAGTTTAATATATTTTATATACCTGCTTAGTACTTATGTACATTATTATTATTTTCATATTTAAAATATTTATGGCACAACTTATTTTATATTTTAAAAGATATGTTAATAATATAATAATAGTTGTTCATTCAATGAAGAAACTAACAATCTAAAAGTGTTTTGTGGTCACTCGTTATTTTATAATATTTGTACTAATGAATTGAAAAAAAAAATTTAAGTACTTATTATTTCCTAATTAATAATGCGATATAATTAAATTATATCGTGTTACAAATTATAAATATATATCAACATTACTATTTATCCTATATTACAAATATTAACACTATGTTAATATAAGTATTAAAAAACTGAATATATTTTACAAAACTTGTAATCGTTTTGGAAGTTGAAACATTAAACTAATAGATATACAGGTAATTATCAAATTATGAGTTTTAATTTTTAAATAAATATTTGACTATTCAAGTTTATTATTTTATATTATATACAAATTTGAATACTATTAAATTAGTTAGTTTAAATTTATTGTTTATCAAGAACCTAACTTAACCTTTTTATTTTAGAGTTCAATTCACAATTTTAGAAATGGACGGTTTATAAAACTTCCCTAAATAGTTAATAATGTATTAAAATTTAAAAATATTTTGGATAAAAGCAGAGAAGCTGAGAAAAAATCAAACTAGACTTTGAACATCAAAGTCCGCTTATCTCTACGTCCAATCTATTTTTCTAATAAAATTTAAATATTATTACTATAATACATTATACTTAAAATCGACCTTTATTCGACATATGCATGTGTTTTAGATAAATGTATGATACATTTACATAAATTAATTAATCTAATCATATTAATATATTAATATATGTATTGTAAATAATCTATCGACCATAATAACCGTTAGGAAATGTTTATTATTATTTAACTATATACAAGCCAATAAAATTATAATGATAAATTAAGGTTAAACCCTGTTTGTATAAGTTAATTTATAATCAATCATTGTCAGTATTTACAAAACTTTATCTTGTAATATTAATAATTTAACATGTATGGATTTAATATGCGAAAATCACTTTACACATCCACTTATACAGTCTCAGGTAAATTGCCAATAATTTTTTCATAAAAATGATTATTATTATTTTATACTGAAATTTACAGTGTTTCATTGTAAACTTCGGGAGTTATATAACGATTGAGAGGGAGGAGTGGCTTTAGTAACCATAGCACTCACCGTCTTGAAATCAGAATACTCGTAATTTTTTCATTTATGGTTAATTAATTGATATAGATACAATACAAAACCATTTTTTTTTTTTTTTTTTTTTTTTGTCACTGTTGAATGAAGAGAAGAGAATAGAGAGACAAAGTTACTCATATTGAAATTCGAGTTCGTTAGACGATGTGTACTACTTCTCAGTTTTTTATTAAAATTACACCCCTAATGGTACAAATGAGATAATAATACATTTTGATTTTCTTTATGGCAGGGGTCTCCAACCTACGGCCCGCGAGCCGAATCCGGCCCGCCAAGCTAATTAATGTTTTGAAAATAATATATTAATTTTCATTGTTTTTAATTTATTTTTTATTAAATTGATTAATAAATTAAAAAATTATATAAATAAACATACATTTTTTTAAATAAATCTCATCTATTCTTATTTATTTCTCAATTTCATAACCTATCAGATATTCCTAGAATCCTAGATAGACAACATTTTTTTTTTAGACAACACATTTCTAAAAATGTTGGCCCGCGATGCCAAAGCGTATATCAAATTTGGCCCGCCGTAAAAAAAGGTTGGAGACCCCTGCTTTATGGCACACATATTGAATATCACTATAGCTCCATAAAACACTGTTTTCTCGGCCACTCAGCACACCATTATAGGAATTTAAAACGGATCGATCTCGAATAAAAAAATATATAAGAGAACAAACTCGATACGCGGCAACCAGCTTGATGATTACCAAATTCTTCTTGGTAACCTGTTTGATTAAGAAATACTGCAATAACGTCGATACTTTTGACACATGCCAAATAGCAGACAATCATTCGTCACACCATAGCAAATAATACCAATCAAATTTTTGTACTATCGCGTGTTTTATATTAAATATTTATTTAATTAATATGTATATTATATTTGTATTATAACTGTACAAACAGTTTCGGCGCTTTAATTATTATAAAATCGGCTAACGTTCATAGTTATTAAATTAAAAAATAAGATATGCATAAATGTTATACGACCGGCATGGGTTAATTTCGATCATAGTCAATTCAGAATCCGACGGCGTGTCTGGACGAATTCAAAAACTGCTATTAACACTTGAAAACTGAAAAAACATAATTTGTGCTAACCACTTGTCGACATTTATAATTGCTGTTGACGAAAATATTATGAGTTTAATTTTTCGACGACCTATTTCGGCGCAGACTAAAAAAAATGTAAGTACCCAAATAAATATTCAAAAGCTGTAATCGTCTTCACTTGGACAGATCACTACTCACTCCTCCCCTCTGACCCTCATAAATCGGCAGATTTTTGCGAACGTCAAAAAACCGAAACAGACCCAAATACATAGGTAATATGTAAATAAATCGACCACGCTAGAGCATGTTAAATATATACACGTATACAGGTATAGAGCTTACATTAAACGTGTGATATATTATGCGATATATAATGTATTACGACTACGGACTTACTTGGTACTGCAGTGATATAAATTATTTTTTGGATTAATTTCGTCCGTCGGGACGGACCGAAGACTTCGGTGCAAATTTCGACGACGATGACGATACAAACGGAGCCGGTATACAATCAAAGATTCCGGAGACGCGGACGTGTTGCGGTACACTCTAATATTAATAATGATTCGCTGTAAACCACTGTAGATCACTGACAGAAGTATGCGGACAAACACTATTGTAAGTCGTGATGTACGTGCGTGCGTATGTGCGTATGCATTTACCTGTCTCGGTGAATTGAAGTTATTTGTTTTTTTTTTTTAATACGATCAAGAAAAACGATTATAGGTTAACGAGATTAATTATTATAATATACACCGTGCTCTCATGTGTGTGTGTGGTGTATGTGTGTCTTGATTAAAATAAAATAAAATTATTATTTATGTTTACTATGCTGTCTTAACAATTAAGTTGTACAATAATAATATGTACTCACATAATATAGGTATCTTATATACACGGCAAGGTTAAATCAATGTTAAATGATTACAAATAACCTCGGCATTTATTAGATATAATATAATATTATAAACAATACCAGGAGCCGTTTCTCGAGTTCAGATCGATAACAATATATCGTTTAGAGTTCACGAACTTTATTTTCCTTGCAGTAGATCATCCCCACACACATGTTATACATGCATATAAAGTCTGACTCATCGCTGGGTTGGCGCAACAAAAGATTTAGATTCACATCAGTCGACTTTCAAAATATTGAAAATATAATCGTTTTATAACCACCACGGATATTAAAGTTATTCACAAATTCCTAATAAGCAGTAGGTATATCATTGAAGGCTGCAGAACGTGTCTGTCGTCGTATACAAGTCTACACCGTAAAGCCCCAAGACGACTAACCGTAGTGAATGTGGAATCCAATTACAGCCTTTTTGAATATTAGTTCGCTAAACGTCCATCGAGTTGAATAAAATTGTCACCACTACAGTATGCAAACGTCAATAAATGTGCTTGAGTGTGGCTGGAGATATGAATCTTAAACTCAAAACTTCATTTTCTTGACCATAGAAATATCTTAGTTTATAGACTTATTATATACGATAATTATAATATCATCTCGTTATTATAAATTTCTAGTCATAATATTTTTATCGTTGTAATTTAATGATAACATCACTATATTACCATACAGTGTTGCATCAATTAATACTGCACACTTCACAGTAATTCAAATTGTTTATATATCAAAATTCAATAACGTATTTCATATAATTTTTAAGTAACGTTCGGTTCACCTTAAAATAATATTTAAACATTTTCAAAATTGAAGTTTACAAAATAAAATTTTAAAACTACAGATAACTTTAATTAAATTGGGTCGTTGGATTTTATGTATATGAATATTAAGTTGAAAAGAGAGTCTCAATAATAATTTTCCTTCTTAAATTATTCTGACTGAGAAACGGGATCAACAGTTATCATAAACAATCAAACAAAGTTCGTATGAAATACTTACTGGAATAAATAATTCTGCTAATTAAATATCTACACACATTTAACTCTGAACACTGGCTATACTTGGCTAACTCTAGTTTATTAGAAACACTACTAAACACATGCATTATTGCTGTAGTTCATGTAATTCAACATTAAATATATAAATCTACATGGATCACAAATAATGATTAACAAAAATTAACATATACTGTCCTGTTAAAAGACTTCAGGTATCTCCGTGTGGCTGTAGCGTATCGACACATTCGGCACGCTATAATACCATCTACAAATATCTTCAACTCGCTCAGAATCTCAAATGGACAAACGACAATAACATTGAAAGCAATGGTTTAATGTTTTGAAAATTCAATAACAAGTTAACAAAAAGTGCAATAGGACATCATACAAAAGCGACTACTTTCCTTTAAATTTTTACCTCTAAAACACGCACTACAACTACGACGTGCGTTAGATTACCGATAGTTTTAGAAATTTAGAAATTATTAGTCAACATCATATCACAATTACGATGATTAGCTGTAAAAACGATTTATAAATAATAATGTAACATTAATAAAACGACTATCAGTGAGTAACTACTAAAAACTGCCCATAAACATAATATATATATAAATATATTATGTAATTTAATACATGGCAATAAAAATGCAGACAGCTTATACTGTAATTCAAATATTAATGATGATATAAATAATTATAAATATATTTGAATCATATTAGACGCGATTTCTACCAGCAAACAACGGCGATAAGTTTAAACCGATAAGCCAGGTATATTGAATTCATAATTAGATGGTAGATCATCATGAACCGCTATTAATTACATAGGTATAGTAAAAACAATAAATATAGTAATAATATTTATATTATATGGTCTAACCTACTAGTACAAACTACAAGCAAATATCAATTAATCACGGTTAACTAAGCAATGATACATCTAGGACCTTTAAACCCTTTGATCGGAAATAAAATTTGTGTGGGTTTAATTTCTTATTATAGTATATTATTATTTATAAATTATAAATTTAAAAATAGTCTTCTCGACAATTGTTGCGGCGTGTAGTATTAATAATAAATAATTATACTATTTAGTTTTGCCGCCTACTTTAATTTTTACAATACATAGGTAATAACATACAAGCTTTGATTTTGTCTGTCACCTAGTATTTAATGCGTAGCAGCTAATTAACTAACTGGAGGACTTCGAATTAATCTAAAAAAGTTAATCTGCTGCAGAATACGAATATAATAGTAACTTAATGTTTATAAAACGACATTTTATGAAACGAAATTATTAATCGTAAAAAAATATATTATAAAAAAAATACTACATTAAATATTACAAAATAACCTAACACAACCGACAATCCATAGTTATAACACAAGATCTAAAATTAAAATCTAATATTTTCCAAAACATTATAACAGATTTTTTAGAATTATACAAAATACTCTGTACTTGAATAAAAAATTGTTAATAGTTTTCATTATTATTTATTTATTAGTGAATTAAATTTCTAAAATAATTTTATCAAGAATTTACTATGAATACTTAGAATACCTATCATTTATATTTGTATTTGTTATTAAGTAATCATATTATTATTATTATCTCATATTTTATTATTGAAATTCTTTAAAGTGATTACACACTTGATGTTTCCGACTTAGCGTTTACAAACAGTAGCGTATGTTAATGATTTTCAAACGCGTGGAAAAGCTTTTTCACCGTGCGCGCCTTACTGGTGCTCTCATTTGTCACTCAGTTTTCGTATAAAAACATCACATAACCGCAGAATAGTATTTTTAATTTTTACGACTTGCATGACGCAGCAAAACAAAATTAATAAAAAAAAATAAGTTAAAAAAAAACTTAACATCATTGATGCGTACATTCGTTTAACTTAAAAAAATACCGTTTTAAGGAAAGTTTTTAATAACTTTTATGACATCGTGACAACATCTAGAAGAGTTTTTAAATATTTTCGTTAAACATTTGAAAAGCTAGCTAGTACTATAATATATTAGTTTATATCAATTTAATACAAATGAAGTGTAAAGAGGTTTAATTGTATTATTTTTTTATTATTCCAATTGTATTTGATTATTCAGTCAAATATCATTGAAAGACAGTTGAAGAGAAATAAAATATGTTTTGATTGTTTATTTCACCTGAAAAAGGCTGTTTATTAAATTAAGGTAAATACAACAAATGCAATTTATTTTCAATGTATAAATTTATTACTATATAAAATATGGTAAAAATAAATGCATAAAATACTTCCTACACAGAAATTTGAGAATTTTAATAATTTTAAAATGGTTTTTAAGATTTCATTTTAAATGTTTTTGAATTCAATATAATTTATCCAATATTTAAAAAAAAATTTAAAAATAATAAATTATGTGTATGTAATATTTTAGAAATATTATTTTAACATATTTTACACTACAGTTTATATGAAATTGACTGAAAACATTTCCAAAACAATAATCTTGAATACCTAGGTATATTGGTAATTTGTTTATATATATTTATATAATCATATACCCGTGTAAGATGTATACATTTTTGGATATTTGTATAAATCAATTTGGTTGCATGAAAATATTTCAAAAATAGGAGTCATAAATTATGAATGCCATCATATATATTATATTATTATTCCATTATTGTATTATATAATACAACGCATATGCGTATAATAATTCTATACATGTTTATATTATACATTTATTCCATATAAATATATGTGTTCATCTATAATATATATGTATATTATTATATAGCATAGGAGGCCAACTTACGGCTCGCGAACCACATGTGGCTCTCGTCATTGTCAGATGAAACTCGCGCCTTATTTACAAAATAAAAATTTACTTAATATTATTATGAATTTTAATTTTTAGTTATAAGCTTATAAAAAATTATCAAACTATATAAACATTTTGGCTCTTAGTGTTATTGTATTTATCTATGTAGCCCAAGAACCTATTCACATTGACCACCCCTGTTATATAGTTTCATAATACAATAATTATGAGTGAATATTATTCAATTTTAAAGATATGCCATACATGAAGTATCATCGCGTTAAAAATAAAAATAAAATGATCAATAAACATTATACAAAGTATTGAATATTTTTATTTTGCAGGCTATTCTAAAATTTTTTATTTCATTGTAAGCATGGCCTTTGTTATTTATAACACGTAAATAAAAAAGTAGTATGTCTACCAGGCGTCAAGTATATATATAATAAATTACATGATTAATAAAAGGTAAAATAAAGAAAATAATTCATTAGTAGATTGAAGGATTATAATTATGCGGTACCTACTTGTATGATTTAAGTAAATGTATTTTTTTACCCCAAAGACCAATAGTCACTAGCCCTGCAGTGGTGGAAAAGTTAGACGATTCAGTTTATGTTGTATACATAATATAAAGATATAAAATGGCTACATAATTCATGCTTGATTATTTATTTGATATATTTTTTTTTCTGAGTATAAAAAATCTATATAAACACTAGCTGACCCGGTAAACATTGTTTTACTATATAAATAATGTGCTTGTCACTTAGTAATTTGTGCATGTGTGATTTGAATAATTTCAACAATTGATTGTGCTCATTCAATAATTCAATAAAACTTTCAGATTACCGACGATGCAGACGCATCAGGTGCAAAAAGGTGCAAAAGGTGATTTAAGGTTCTTGGAGCTACAACGTGCATCCACGCGTATGGCAAGTGCACTTTCAAAGTCC